GGCACTTCTCGAGGATACTGCGGCTCTTTTGTCACTAAAAATTTTCTTGGTTTACTTTTATGACGTTTAGCATCTGGTGCTTCTTCATTGTCACTTGACGCAAACGATTTACGTTTAGGTTTCCCCTTTCGTTTCGGTCTCTCTTGCATATTTATAGCTTGTGGTGATGGTGAATTGCTTCTATTTGGTACAGCTTTATCAGGACAAATTGGTATCAAATCACAACATCATTAAAAAAGGAAACAAACTTTGAGTTACGCCGCCGTTTCGGTTTTCGATTTTCTTTTATTGAAGTATCTGGAATGATTTCTGAATTTTAAACCATTAAAGAAAAAACGATGTGATATTTATTAATATTTTTTATTAAAGATGCTAAAATATATGTATTTTTTTTATAAAAAAAAAAAAAAAAAAAACCTTCATTTGCTTGTGACTGTTGTAAATCAGTGTGAGACAGTCCATCTGATGTTGCTGCCGAAGCAAAATTTTCAGAAAGTTCTGTAAGATCGCTTGATGTACTTGGAGATGGTGATAAAGTTGAAGCAGGAGAAGGTGGCTGTTCCACGTTAATAGAACGCCGCTAAAGCAATAAAGAAAAAAAAGTAATAAAGTGAATTGTCTACTAAAACCCTTGAAACTTTTCACATAAAGTGTACCTGTCCTATAAAATATTGCCTTACTTCTGCTGTAGTACATTCTGCCATCTGTGCAATAAAACTGAATGATGATTCCGGATTTGTTGTATGACTGTATGTCTTCCACGCTTGTTGTAAAGCAAGTTTCTTGCGTTTATCTAAATCGATGTCTCTCAGAGCTGTAACAAATCTCATGTTAATATCATCGGTCATGATTTTCGTCTTCAAGAAACAAATTGATAAAATTGATAAAGTTTGAGAACATTGGCCGTTAATAAGTGAACACGAAATAGAAAGAAACGAAATTAGCATAGTGCTAAAACGGCCATCAAAAACGAGTTTTAAAACTGACAATCATGCAAAAAATTTATGGGATTTGTTATGGATAGCATTTATTCTGTAAAGAAATTAGTTATCTTTTTACCTTATATTTTCGTCAGCAAAACTCGAACTTCTGTCTAATAAACAAATCAAAGATAGAAAAACATATAAATAAATGTCAAATAAATGTCAAAATTAAAACGATAATAATAAATGATAGTTTAGACGCGATGTCACATAATATGTTCTTTCACGAATACACACTAGAAAACACACAACGGACAGCTCGTCTTTATCACGTTCGATT